GCGCAAGGCAGGGCGGCCAGGCGTCTGGGGCTTTGCTGCTGCACAGGCCGGCGACGCCAGGGGGGAGAGGCGCCCTCGGTGGGGGGCCGCCGCCGCCCCCGGTCCGCCGGTCAGGGGCACACCGGCGCGGTGGCGTCGCTCGAGAGCGCCGTGAGCCGCTGGTCCGAGCTCGCGGCCTGCTCGCTCGCGGCCGCCGCCTGCTGCAGCTCGTTGTGGCGCCGCATCATCGCCGCGGGGTCCGCGTCAGCATCCACCTCCTCTGCTTCAAAGTGCAGCCCGCGCTGGCGGCGGCGGCGCTCCTCCCGCAGCAGTGTCATCGCGTTGTACAGCCCCGAGAGGCTCGGCATGTACTGCGGGACGGATGGGGCGCGGATGCGGGACGGATGGGTCGGAGGCAAACGGGGCGCACGGTTCGGGGCTGTGACCACGCGGCGCGAGAGCGCGGAGCGGGCGGGGTAAAGCGTGCGGATGGGACCGCCCAGGCGTCGCACACGCAAGGGCACGCCCGGGCGGCAAGAGCGCGCCTCGCGGCGCCCCGGCGGGGCCCCTCACCGGCCAGGCTGCGACGAGGTACTCTCCAAATTGGTGGGCCTTGGTGAGCGACGCGTACACGCACAGCATGGTGACGGTGCACTCCATCTGCGAGTTCCTCTGGATCACCCCCAGCTCCCGCATAGCCTCGTCCCGCGCCACGATGTCATCCGCTGCGCAGACCTAGGGTTTTCAGGACGCAACAGCGCGAAAAGGTCAGGGGCCCGGCTGCCATGGTGGCCGCGGCACGGGCGCGTTACACGCGGGCGTGCGGTCGGAGGACGCAGCGCCCAGCCGCGAGGGGCGAAGCGGTGGACGTGCGCGTGCCGCGCGTGTGCGCGCGCGCACCTGCTCGAGGAGCCGCTGCATCTGCGCCTGCATCGTGGCCATCCGCTGCACGTGGGTCTGCAGGGCGGCGTACACCGTCTCCTCCTGCGCACACAACACAGGGGCCATGCAACCGCAACAAAGTGGTCAGGCGCAGCGCACTCCGCCCAAGTGCACTGGAACGCGCAGCTCTGGCCGCCAGGCGCAGCTTCGATTCTGTGAGGCCTGCCGCCGGTGCCACCCCCCCAAAAAGCTGAGCCTCAAGCCCCGAGCTGCACGGCCGCGCCTGCGCCCCCCGCCCCTCTGCATCCCTCAGCCGCGCCGCGCGCGCCGCCCACCTGGTCGGCCTGCCACCGCAGCTGCCTCGCCGCCCAGATCCAGTGGGACACCGGCACCTCGCTCGACGGCTGCCGCCGCGCGCGCTCCTCCTTGCTGACGAGCGGGTCGTCTATATCCAAAGAGTCGAACAAGAAGTCGCTGAGCGGCAGCAGGTTCCCGCTGAGCATCATGTGCACGGGGAGCTCGAGGAACCGCGCCCGCGCGTGCCCCAGCCGCCGCACCGCGTCGCCGGCGTCGGGCGCGCAGCTGCGGATGCGCGGGCACAGCACCGACGCGGCGCGCACGAAGTCGCGCGCCGCGCGGCGGAGGCCGGCGGTGGTGAGGTCGACGCCGCCGTCGGTGAATGCCTGGGCGGCGCGCGTGGGGTCCCAGCCGATGTGCGGCGCCGCGGCGTCGTCGGGGCACGCTTGCTCGTGGTCTGGGCAGGCGCGGAGGACGCCGCCCGCTGCTACATGCTCGGCGCGCACGCGCAGCAGCAGCTCGGCGCAGGCGGTGGTCGGCGACGGGGGGCCGCCGGGCGGCAGCGCCGGCGGCTGCTGCTGCGGCGGCGGGGAGCCGGCTGACGCCGCGGGCGCAGGCGCGCCGGCGACGGCCACTGGCGGGGGCGCGACTAGGGTGATCGGGCCGATGTGGCCCGCGCGCAGCCGCTTCAGCGCGCCGCCGAGGGCCAGCAGCGCCGTGCAGTGCTCGACGGCGGCGTCAGCGAGGGCGCTGCGCGCTTTGAGCACGGCCTGCTGCTGCGCCAGGACTTGGATGACTGATCGAAGGCGGCTGACGGAGGCCTCCAGGCGCCTGTGACGCATGTGGCGCCACATGGTCAAACGCGTGCCAGTGTTGGTTGCAGGTTTGGTGTGGTCCATTTTGCAAGGGCCACACACCGCAAGCTGGGCCGCGACAGTTTGGTGGGCTGCGCAGCGTCAAGCGGTAGTAGATTTGCTGGCGCTCCCCCAGACACCACACGCTGGCGCTGCCCTGGCTGCGCGCCCTCAGCGAGACATTCGCAGGCGTTTGAGCGCCAGGCTTGCCCCTCGCCCACCTTATGACTTGCCGGGCTGCCACTTTGGGGGGCATTTTTCCCGTCGCCTCGCCTGATGTGCTGCACAACGGCCCGCGCCCCGTAGAACCTACACCAACAAACTCAACAATATATACGACGCAGTGCGAACCGTCGCGTTCACCCAGAACGGCCTCGTCACCGGTCAAGCAAGATTCGGTCGAGCCACAACCTTTTTTGCCGTTTCAAGGTCTGCACAACCCAGATAGCATGGGGCCGGGCCCGCGTCAATATAAAGCGATTTCAGACTTCGTTCTGCTATAGCTTTTTTCACGGTCACCACGCTCACCCCCTGGTGGCGCCCCCGAGCACCTCCCCGGACTCGAGCAGAAGGCCACCGGCGGGCCGCGCCAGCAAGGTTGTGAAGCGAAAGCATCCTGGCCCAAGGCCCCCTGGTCACCTCATATGCAGGGAATTCTAATACAAGGATATTACAGCCATTTGCATAGCTTGACGAATGTGCGCGGGCCCCAACCGGCGCGGCGGCTTGCACCCAGCCGGTGGCCGGGATTTGCACGCCTGTTTTCCGAGAGCGGCGCGGGGTGCGCACGGCGAGCGCCCCCCACGTGCCTGACCAGAATATGTCGAATTCACCTGCCATCAACATTTGTGACCCCCATGCCAGCCTTCCCGCCGCCCTGCGCTGGGCGCCAGCCCCGCCCTTCCGACTGCCTTAGGGGATGCACAGTCAACGCCGCATGACGGGTGATGGCAGCCACACGAGTCAATTCTGGTGGCCACACCCCTCCACAGGCTTCATGACTCCCTACCCTGGGCTGTGCGCTGCATTATATTACATTGATTTGGGCACCTCCATGCACACCCAGGCGCCCAAGAGCAACCCCGTAACCCCGATGAGGAAAATAGATGCTGCTGGGGTGCCCAAGCCAGGCACCGGGGTTCGCAGTGGCTCCTTAGCTCGACACGGCCCTCATACCCCCCATTGTTTCTGCAACATAGCATTCATGCACGATGCTACACATGGATGGCCAACGGTGCGGCGATCCCCTACCCACGCTGGTCATTTGTGGTGCAGAGCAACCCTGGCGTCACAGCGTCAGCTGTGGTGGGTGCCATGCCGGCGCTGACGCCGAGAACCCTGCAAACTGCCATCGGAGAGCAGCGGGCAACCACACCGCATTCGCCTGAGCTTTGCAACCTTGCAAGCACCATTGCTGCCGCTGCTCTAGCACGGCCATGGTGCTCTGCCCCAATTTCAGTGCACTTGGCGCAGAGGCAGACAGGTTCTTGCCCGGC